ATCTGAAGGTTTGTGACGATGGTGTATCACAACGTCAAACTTCTTTAACATTATCCATCGTCTAATTGTAATTAAAAAGACTTTTCAGAGACATCGTTTTCAATTAAAATTAGGACGATGGGCAATATCTGTGAAGTTTAACATTGTTACTTACCTTTTGACTTAGATCCATTGATGTCTCTGCCATTATATTCCTCTGAATGTCGTCACGTGAATTCAAATTAATCTTTTTAAAGGATATTAACAGTTTGGAGAACATGAATTTATCAGAAGCATGAGATAGGATAAATGACTCAACATAGACATTTGTTTTTGGTCGAATATCGGTTTACGAGGATTGCCATTAAAATATGAATTAAAATACTGATAAATTACTCTGCATTTTGAATATAGGCTCACGTATTACTCTTTAATTTTTTTCTAACAAAATCAGTAATTATTTATATATCTGACTCAGTTTCTCACAGCGATAGGTGCCGCGAGCAACTGATAACATTAACAAGGTGACACAGTATATATAAAAAAATTACGTGGGGCCAACAGAATACATTGGCCGGTGTAAAATTTTGATCTTAAAACCTCAAGTGTAAAGTTAATGTGGAGTACGGTGTGGATTGGTGGATGATATTAAAAGGAATCTTAAATATGTAACTTATGAGGGTGTGAAATCATTGTACGTGACTCAGGGAAGAGTCCAGTGGGATTTTGTGTACACGGTACTGAACCATCATGTCCCAAGATACGTGTCACGGTTAGGTTACATCCATCTCCTACATGTCCGATCCTCCATCCATTGCAGAGACATGAGAAAATAATCTCAGTAAGTTTTGTGGTCCTAAAAACAGTACTCGGGAATTTTCTAAAACTGTGGTATGGTTCAAGACTTTTGAAATGCGTGTATGTCACTTTTGCGCGCACTCCTCTTCACTGATTCTCAAATGCTTGTTCTCCGCTTAAACAAGAAATTCATACATCACGTGGGTAGCGACTTTGGGGGATTCCCCTCACAGAGATCAGAAGTTTGTCCGTGCGCGACACTCGTAAAGCTCGTGGTCTTTAGGTTCACTACCTGTTTTACGGGTTGATACTGATCCTTGGGGCCCTTAGGAAGCATCCAGTGTACGACTGGACTCAGAAGGTCCGGGTGTAGTTCTCGTGGATTCGTAGCTCCGGTGAGAAAACTGACAAGCAATCCCACAACGATGACGATGATGAAGCCGACCACGTTGAAGTACAAGTAGGAGAGGCGATACAGCACGAAAGGTTCCTCTGCGTCAGGAGCCCTGCCGGCAACACAGGGTAAACGCTAAAATTGTCTCTGGTCATTATTAAGCCTCGCGCCATGAAGACGTATGGAGGAGTGGAGGAATATGCTTGACCTTTGCGTGGAACATGACGGCCAAGTAGTTATGACTCCTGTTTTATGATCGTGAAGTGCCGTTTTCAAATCTCGGCAACATTAAAGCAGAATTTTCCTCACTCCTTGATGAGCCCAGTCTCTTATGCCGTTACTTGTATAGTCGGCGTAGTAGTTTTTGGCCGGTGGAGCTGGCGGACGGGCCTACTCTGTGTACCTGAGGTGGCACGGTCAGTGCATTTCTTTTGTTTGGGCGTTCAGTCCGATAAGCTCCTCGGTGCAGTCAGTGACTCGCTCCTAGCCTTCCCCTTGAAAATTCCAAGCTGGCGGACGGGCCTAGTCTGTGTACCTGAGGTGGCACGGTCAGTGTATTTCTTTTGTTTGGGCGTTCAGTCAGACAAGCTCCTCGGTGCAGTCAGCATTATACCATCGCACAAGTGACTCGCTCCTAGCCTTCCCCTTGAATATTCCACCGGCCAAAAACTACTGCGCCGACTATACATGTCTTGCACAGTAGCGTTTGTTTATTTATCATGAATTCTTGAAATTGTTAGCCGTGTTGGAGGCTTAGTTACGAATTCACATCTGCACTACACACATTATCGAACTTTCAGTGTCACTTAAAAATTAATTTTCGTTTCTCGAAAGTTAGCGAGCCTCCACCATTTTGTATTACGCTCTGAATATGTGAATAAGTAATCTTTATTAAAACGCGTACAATTTTTTGAGACATTGTATATTACAGAAAACAAATGAATGTTGACCTTGGCACTAAATTGGGGTGAATTACGAGTTGTATGCTCCGTCCGTCTTACCCAAGAAAAGAGTACCTGTATTCATTGAATAAGACGTCGAGATGCAGACTGGACGCGGTACGTAAGAGAATACTGTCTTGCTTCTGCCTAGACTCGAACCCCGATTGGCCCGTAATCTTGTCATCATACTCGCAGAGTTAAATTCGCTCTTTTTACAGAACCCAAAGGCTTATTATCGTATTCACAAGAGACCGCCAGTGGTCCGTGTCCTGAGCCAGATGAATCCAGTTTAAAACTATATTATATATTTTTAAGGACACATTTTAATATTAACCTCCGCTCTAACTCTAGTACTTGCAAGAGGTCTCTTATATTTGAATTTTCCGACGACAACATTGTGTGCATTCAGCTTTTCCTCCCTGTGTGTAAAGACGTAGGAGGGAGGGTAATGTTAAAACAGATAATTAAAGATACAGTGTGTCGGATGTGAACTGGACCCATCTGGCTCAGTGGCGGTTCTTATAACACAGCAACAAAACTTCAGGATCCTTACGAGGCTGGGAATTTCATGACTAGATGAGCGACTGTGCGTCATGGACTTTGCTGGTGTAGCTCAGTGCCAACGCGTGTCCGTCCCTCACCTGTCAGTAGACGCAGAGAGTGGAGTAACCGTGTGGTTCCCTGGACAGCCTGCTGTGGACATCGGTTTCCACGGGAACTTTATGGCGCCCCTGGCAATCTCTGTCTGAGCCCCAACAACAAGCCAGCTCACAAGCACGAGGCTTGTCAAACTGCCCACCAGAGCCCCCTGAAACATAAGCACCATCCTGAGCAGTCCCTAATATTGAAACGTTTTAGTCCGAGCACTAAAGCACTAGATAGAGAACAGCGGTCAGCTTCACGCTCCATCCACTGTCCGCCTTTATCCACTGGGTAAAGTCCTGAGTCGATCTCAAGGTTGGCGAAGAGGAATCATTTCGTCTCTTCCGGTAATCAAACCTCAGTCGTCCAGACACTTCACTGAATACGGTATACCGGCTCATCTCGTATTTAGACCTGTCTTAATATAGTTAACCCTTTGTCTTTCCATATTTTTCTTTGTATTACGTGTGGTCGCTTCGCAAAAAGTTCCCCCAGTAAAATTCTGCGTGCTGTTCATATTTGATCTGTATGTGTCATGTACCCAGTCCTTCGTGGCTTTCCCTATTTCACATTACTAGAGGATCTGCACAAATGAAGATATTCATCGTTATGCAGTAAGTCTGTACTAAAGTGGAACAATTTTTTGTTTTGCAGTTGTTTGCGGTTATGGAAAGTCACGGAGATACGGTGTAACTTCTCAGTAAACATTTTTATGGAGCAAAGTGATTGGGTAGCTAATTGTATCCCCCTTTTATGAAACCAGGAATTTTATTACCGTGGTCATAACAGTCAGCTTAATCAGAGCCAAATGAATCCAATCCCTCCAACTTTTCTTTAAGGCCAAATTCTATATGATTCTCCCATATGGGTCTATGCCCAGATCATCTAAGTGGCCTCCTTATTTCAGGTAACCAATATTCTGCATACACTTTCATCTCTCCCATGCGTGCTACATGGCCCGCCTATTCACCTTCCTTGATTTGACCACCTAAATATTATTTTGTGAACAGTAAAATTTTTGAAGTTCCTCCCTCTGTCGTAGATTCAACAATTTTTACATTTTTCGTATTTTCTTTAGTACGAGTGACATTTATATAACTGTCCTGTGCTATTACTGAGTATACCTTTTTCACTCTTTGCTGTCTGTGCGTGACGTTTACCTTTGTATTAGCCCAGGGGAAGAACATCCCAAGTGAGAACAGCCCCAACATGGCGCCGTACGTCACGCCGCTGACAGTAACACCAACCTATAAGAGAAAATACGTGATTAGCATCACACAAGTGTTTGGTCAATATACAGGCCGGTATTTCAATGATGTTGGATTTGTGCTGCTTTTGTAAGAAGGCAAATTCTCAAACGGCACTTCACTTTCGTCCGAATCCTGCTAAGTATTTGCTGTGTGTCTAACAATGCGACCCCAGTCTTCAACTATTCAGTGCTGTACATACACGGCATCCTTCCTGAAGCCCTATAACGAGGAATCCAATAGGTTGAAGCCAGGAGACCTTGAAGGCCATGAGACTTGGCCACCGCGACTAACCCATGCTCCATAGTGATGTACTCCAAAGAAAGTTATTAAATCTGCGTGCCACCAAGCGGTAAAGACGGGGAAACTATAAAATAACTAGGGTATACGTCACATACATTAGAGAAGGCTCTACGTTTATAATTTAAATGTAATAAGGGAAATGTACCTGTATGACACTTCCGAGTTTCTCGATCCAGAAAACGAGGAACACGCAGACGACTCCGACAACGCACACCGTCAGCTTCATGATGAAGTTCACCAGAACTTCGGTTTGCTTATCGGTGGGCAACCACCGCGATATAAAGTCTTCATATATCGTGCCAGAAAGCGTGTTCAGACTCGTGGACATGGAGCTGAAACATGGATTATGCCAGAAAGTGTGTTTAGACTCGTGGACATGGAGCTGGAACATGTATTATGCCGGAAAGTGTGTTTAGACTCGTGGACATGGAGCTGAAACATGGATCATGCCGGACAATGTGTTCAGACTCGTAGACATGGAGTTAGAACACCACATTGTGTTTACTTGTAAACTGTCGAGGACCCGTCACACTTCTGGTTCTTATTCGGGATGTCCCGGTTTCAAATTATGAAACTGGATATTCTGACTGACTATTTTTAAGAGACAAAATAATGTAGTAATGCAGTGGGTTTGGTGTAAATTATAACAAAGGTTATTCACTTTTTGACACAAGGATTTCAATTTTTAACTGTACTGAAACATATTTGTACCATGGCAAAAGCGTATGTAATTATTGCTACTATTTTTCCAATCTACAACATGTCGTGGCCTGTTAATTGAAATGTCCACGAAGTCATTTTACAGTTGACACATTTAACGCTACGAACGAGGTATATCGTTTTGAAACCGATTCTCCTATTTCGTGATTTCAATATGTGCCATTATCTAATTACCTGGAGTAGATTCCTGTTTCAGAACATGTTTCTTAGGTGGTTAAGAAATTTCCTGCGTTTTGTGGATCCTGAGGTTTCATTACCATATTACCATGAGCCACTGGGGTTTATCGTGAGTCAGACGAATCAAGTCCACCACCTCACATTTATCTAAGATTCATTTTTAGTAAAAATAAATGTATCCTGCATATAAATTGACGCTTTACTAAGAGTAGCATCAGAAAACAATTTGTTTGGCAAGTCATGTGCCAAGAAAACCATCTCTTACCTGAGAGCTGCGCAAAAAACGCCTGCTACAAAGAGGCCTGGCAGACCGGGAATGGAACCAGCTAAATCCATCACGTAGTAAGGTAACAGTTGGTCGGCACGTTTGATCACCTGTAACATACAACCGGGTTTCCAATGCTGTCTATCTGAGCGGAGCATTGACTCGACCTTGAAACACAAATACTCATCTACACGGGCGCACAGCCGTTATAAAACGTTGTACAGAAACATCAGCTGGCACTCAGTTCTTAATTAGTTTTCTAACTTTCTAGTGTTTCATCTCATTCTAGTCGGTTTAGCATTTTATAGTTTGAATAGAATTTAGTAAAAAGGTTGGGACACTGGCAACACACCCACTGTTTGAAATACTATTCAGATTACTTCAACAGTGGGAACATTTTCAGGAAGAGGGAATGCTTTAAGTCAAAAATTAGCATGATGCCATTAGTTCAAGGCCAGGTCAATTCTCAGCTTATACAGACTATACTTCTGTTATTAGGGGTCTGAATTGAAAATTTGCGGATGATTATAATTTTTATCCATATTCGGTATAGAAATTTAATTTGATAATTATTTTAATCAGTTACTTATCGTACATGTAAATGTAACACAAAACGCAATGTCAAAAATGTGTTAAGATTTACGTTTTTTGAATTAGAACTAGTAATCTAGTTTCCTACACAGTGGGAACCGGGGGTGTTTCCTGTGTGAAGCAAACCACTAACCTCCATAAAGTTCCACATTAAAAGTGCGTGGAGCTACACATTGAGCCCCACCCAATTTGCTTCCATGACGCGGAGACACTGCTATTGAAAACTGCGCTGTTCTATATGCAGTGTGATGTGGTGCGAATCATAAGATTATATTAGATTTTATTAAGAATATTTATATGTTTAATAGACGAATGAGACAATTAATGCATTCGGAGTATGTCTCTTGTATTTGTGGGTCATTTAATTGTTATGAGAAATGGATATTTTAGTGCATAACGTTGGTAATACTTTCGTGCTGAGCGGGTCACAGTCCTGGTAGTGTGCATATATCAGTAGGCCAGTCAAACAGCTCACAGTTTTGCACCAGCAGATTCCAACGCAGAATACGAGCAGGGCCCTGGATCGGAAAGGAACAAATGTTGAAACAATGAAGGCTAATACAGAGGTAAATAATAAGCTTAAGATGTTAGAATATTTGTTACAGGTTTTTGGTAAAAGCAGTCGAATGGAACAAAATAATTATAAGACGTAGCCTAAGTTCTCGAAATCTCCGCTAGGTGTCGAGCAGACTAGAGTCCTGATAATAAAGTAGACTTTTCTTCGGGAGAATCTAGTTCAAAATTCCTACATGTTTCATGTTTTTTCTCAGTCTCTTGAAGTGAATTTCGGAGTAGTAGTTCCACAAAAAACCACGACTGTCTCTTTCCAACTGATGTTCTACTCACCATTTAACCTCTAATTATGTCAGCGTCGTTAAATAACATAAATAGGATAAATGTGACTTTAATCCAGAATTAAAAATAAATTTATTAAAATGATTATTACGATTAAAAATGTTAAGACAAATTTTAAATAACTTAATGGAGCAGAGACCACGTTGAGAAGCTGATAGTCGCTGAGATGGTCAATAACTACTATTACTACTACTGCTTATATGGATTTAGAAGGTTTACTACCGTGATAACAAAAGTCACAAGGCGGCGGTAGAACTTTTGTAAAAAAAACACACAGATACACAGACAATGCAGGATCTCTTAACGAAGGAAAGTGGGGCGTGGTGTACTGACCACCTTGCGTCGGAGAGTCTGGGCAGCGATAGGAACCGTTGCATCATCCCTTGATTCACCCCGACGTGAGACAACCAGATGAACGTCATGCCGATAGTCACGGTCCAGAACGTGTTTCGGATCAGAGGATTTGGGTCCATGCTGGAACAACACGTGGGGGTACTCAGGTAACAAGACAAATGTACACTAACATATTAATAGGTGACAGACATACACACAGGCAAATTGCATAACAGTGTCTTCCTCGTACAATCGACAATTATTCATCTGATCGAGAAACTTAGTATCGATATAGAAGCGTGGATCGCGTTTAATATCGATCTTTCATCTCTGACCAGGTCTCTCAAGAGTTTCTTCTCTTTAATTTATTAAAACAAAAATTGTGTGTCCATTTATGGTTTCCTCCATGCATTTTACATGCCCTGCCCATCTCATATTAACAATATTAGTCGAATAGTAGCTACAAATACAAACCTCTTTATTATATTGTATTGTCTTCATTGAGCAGATTTAACATGGGTTATGTTGTACTGTTCTGATAACGAATAGATATAAGACTTTTTTCCTTGGGGTCTTAAAGTCGAGGAAATACGTAACATATATTAAGTGAATACTTAGTACTTTAGTTAAAATACAAATAAAAGAAGATGCGTTGTGCTCCGTGACGTACTTGAAAAACTCGATCCTGTCTCCGTCCACATTTCTCTGCCACATTATGTCGAGTCCACCCACCGCGATTATTCCCAGGACCATGACGACGATGCTGGATCCCATCATGATGATCTGCTGCAAAGTATCTGTCCACACCACAGCCTTCAGGCCTCCCTGTAACCATGGGAACACGAACGGATAGTATTTCAACTAATGAAGAAAGTCTCCACCTGGAATACAGGCGACTCTCGTTATACACGGGGGTTGCGTTCCTACTAATAGCCGGTTATGACGGAGACGCGCAAATTGGGAAACGTATAACAATTCTCAGTTTTTTATGTAAAACTGGCGCCAGTATTTTATGATGATAAGTTTATCATCCACATCACATCTTCTGATAAGCCTGGGGAAAATTCGACGCAGGTGATGGGCTTTAAGATTTGGCCCCGGATAGAATATTGATGCTCCTCGTAATACTGAAATAAAACTGCAGATAAGCGAAAATTTGTACAGCAAAGCGCGTATAACGTGTAAATAAATTATCTCCTGAGTCAGATGAATCCAGTCTTCAACCTCACACATTTATTTATTTAAGATCTATTTTAATACTGTTCTGTTCTGTATTGAATTCTGTAAACACTGAAATAATCTAGCACGTCTAGGCCTTCTAAGTACTCTCGTTCGTTTAGAATTTGTGAATAAAATTTTGTTCGCATTTCTTATGTCTCATGCAAGTCTTTCTTGATTTGATCGCCCGAATATTATTTGGCGAAACTTTTCATTATGCAGACTTTCACTCCAGCCTCCTTCAATAATTTAACCCGTAATCTCGAACCAGTTTATTCCTCTAAATCTGTTTTACTAAGATCGATTTTAATATTATTTTCCGAAAGTCCAACAGTACATGCCTGTCTATGTTCACGGCACGGGCTATTTTTGAGCAAACGAATCTAACTCAGCTGGTCAAATTCCTCGCCTTTTGTGTTTCTTTATGGAGTTCATAAAATCAACCCATTTGGGTCCTACCCTGAGATATTTATTTTCATTTATGTTAGATCGAATTTATTATTTTTCTTTCCAAGAAGTTTTCCCATCAGAATTCTGTAAATGCGAAATATCTCACAAATACAACTCACCAGTGTGGTGTAAAAAATGCAGATGGCACTCACAGCAGGAGTTATCATGTGAAGATTTATTCCAGTCACTGCAACAGAAATGTTTGAAACATACAGACGTATCATTGTAGGATACTGGTGCCAAGATGCTTTGCGTTGTATTGCCCGTGTAGTACCGGCCAAATATTCGCCATTACCCTTGAGCGTAAATGAGCCCGAATCTGTAATCTACAAATTAGACTTCGTGTTTCTCACCTTGGCTGAAGGCCAGAGCAGGAACGTACAGCACTATGGGGGTGTGCAGAACCTGAAATAAAGGTTTCAGTTTCAGTTGGAGACAATTATATATTTTAATGAAAACACTAATGTGCATCTCCGGAAGTCGTACAAATGCTGATGAGATTCGTTTTTAGAGGAAACATTGCAAAGAGGACACTAATACTTAGGCTGATGTATCCTTGTAAACGAATTTCGCAAAAGACAGGAAAGTCAAATTTGAAATCCGGTGTTCAGTGTGGGTTCTATTCATATGTCAGTGTACAGTGTGTGGACTCCATTCGTATGTCAGTATACAGTATGTGGGTTCCATTAATATGTCAGTATATAATATATGGGTTCCATTCATATGTCAGTATACAATATGTGGGTACCATTCATATGTCAGGATACAATATGTGAGTTCCATTCATATGTCAGTATACAATATGTGGGTTCCATTCATATGTCAGTATACAGTATGTGGGTCCCATTAATATAAGTGTGCAGTATATGGGACTGTCTGAGGTCACAAAAATTTTCAAGAATTTCGCGATAGTCATGTTTCGATACTCTAGCATGATAACGCAGTTTCTTACCTGGTATATTGTGAACATGAACGAGGCAACAGATCGCACGCTGCTGCTGAAACGAAGCTCCAGATACTGCAACAAGAATACAATGCAATTTCTATTCGTGATATAATTATCAGTACTTAATACCATATTTCGTAAGTATGTCGCAGTTGCAGAGCAGATGTATAATGTTTTAAAGACTGACACTGGATGCACCAAATAGACTCTTCGTAATAGTATTAATTGTAAATGATGATCGCGTTATCTGTGTACTAGTCACATGAATGTGTGTGTAGTGACGAGTGGTTGTTCATACTTTATTATGAAGTGTGTAATGGATGAACACTGTTTGACGGAACAGACCTCTTTTAAACACATATTTTTCTGTTTCTTAAGTCATTCGATGAATAAAATAACAAGGAAATTCCGAATTCAAGTAAATATTATAATTCCATAAATACCATCTGTCACGAAATTTAGTGTCCCTACCACATCAGTATCCAGGCCGGCTCTGGGGCTCACCCAGTCCCCTATCTAATTGATACCGGCGCTTCCTTTCTCAGTGATAAAGCGGCCACCCACTCCCATCTAGTGTCGACGTCAAGAACGAGTAAGAACCTTGCACCTCTCCCCTCGAGCGCTTCTATGACGTGTAGCGGGACAGCTTTATTTTACCGCTCTTAAAATCTACTATCTAGCGTCTTCTTGCCTTTGACTGTAGATCTTTAATGTCAAACACAGTCGATTTTCCTATAATGCGATAGTTGCATTCCTTGAAAACACCGTTATATGAAAAAATCGCGTTATAGAAATCGTTATTTTAACTGGAAAGAGGTTAGGGGTAGATATTTCAGATGTAATTTTTATATTGTAGTTAGTCATATTATTATTACTAGATGCGCATCAGCTGCTAATGTTGTCTGCAGGGATTTGGACATATTCGAGACGAAAATTGTCACACTTCTTCACATTCTATAATAGTATAATTTACTTAATTGATTTAAATTATTTTTACAAATATCCTAATATATTTAATTGCAATTTTCTTGTGTATTTATGTCCTCCGTAACAATGTATATTATATACTGCTTGTTTTATCTTTTATGCTTTTATTGTGTTCATGAGCTCATCTCTGTGCTGTATCTGTAATTGGCCATCTGGCTGTTGATACAGCACACAAATAATAAAGAATTGAATTGAATTATTAATTTAAATACATTACTTTTGCGTAATAAGTTTTTATATCTGTGTTCATGGTTTATTTTGCTTAATTTTGAAAGCATTATATCCAACATGCATCCGCAGTATGGAAACAGCTTGTGAAGCAGTCACGGAAAACACATTTCGCGTTGTAGGAGAAATGACTGTGTTTGCAGCTTCTGCTCAAGGAAATTAACACTCGTCTGTGTTAATCTAGACGTCTACATTTAACAGTCGTCATACCTCATACGTTGACGTGATTTGTAGCGTGTAGAAGACAGGCATGTATGCAACAGCGACCACTGCACATACGATACATGCGGCCAGGCACATCATCCAGTATTGTGTCCCATACGTGTACATTTCAGATGGCGCGCCAAGCAACGTGATGCCCGAGATGTGGCTGGCCGTGAGAGACATGGCGATTGGGAAGACGCTCATATTTTTATTCCCCAGAAGATACTCGTTCTTGGTGCGTTGTCGGGTTCCGAAGCAACCGAAATAAATGCCGATAACTGTAGAAACGGTCAACATTAAGCCGAATATGCTGTAGTCCAGCCAGCCAAAAGAAAGGACACGCGCTTCGACTGTTGTTATGTTGTGCTCCAGGTCCTGATGAAAAGATTTGTTACGTCTTTTACCTCTACAACTCATTAATCAATAAAACACATTGAATATCTCATCACCAACAAAATTTTATCACATTATATTTGCTTTCGTTTTCCTGTATTTTACTTTACAAATATATAGTTGTATTTATTGTAAATCAGGCTGTCAGATTATTTAGAATGACTTTTATATGCAGTAATTTAACTGAACTTTAAGCCTGAAAGTGTTCAGACCTATTTGTATTGAAATTATCAATTTAGTTTCGAATGGAAATTTGTCGAATAAACTACAACTTGTAAGACTTTAGGTTCTCACAGCGGTGAGTATGAAGATTTCTGTCTTCTGGGTTGTTGCGCTGTGTAGTCTGGTCGATGTTAACCAACGTTTCAGAGGTCATACTGCCTCCGTCATCAGGGCGATGAATCGCGTTGGTTAACATCGACCAGACTACACAGCGCAACAACCCAGAAGACGGATATCTTCTAACTACAACTTCCAAATCATTATTAAACTTGTCCACTTTGTTGTAGATGTATTGGTCTCTTAATACTGACAGGATATTGAGTGACATTTGTTATTATTGTTTCAAAACGAAGCAACATTAATTTTATCAAGGCACGTTGTTTACGATGAGAATTGACACACAGTTCATGTTAGTAAGATGGAATGTGTTTGAGCTACTTACTCACCTCAAGATTAAAACTTGCATGATCTTTGAGCACCATGTTGCCAGTTTCTGAAACACCTCGGAAAATAAAGCGTTGCTATAACTGAGTTTCCGTTTAAAATACAAAAATCACTGGAAACTATTTTAGCCGCTTTTGTTAACTAGAAAGCGTATGTTTCTAGTAACACACTTGAATATCCAGAAACGTTTTTGTTCGGCGCGCAATAAATAACACGTAATTTGCTATGACGAGTTCGGATGCAGTGAATAGGGACTATGAATTTATCAAGTGTGTTATCCGTGGAGACTGAACAAACAACAGCTTGAAATGGAATCCAGCGCAGTTATACTTAAGACCGCTCTGATTAGTCATTGGCTACAAATGGGACTACAATAGGATTCTTCTCATTTATCTTTTCCTCTGCCTAGCGCCATCCACCAGCGCTGCTACTCGTAAGCCTGGCTATTGAAAACTGGTTTTGTCTGTGGAAGGAAATCTGAGTCGCCCACGGCCATATTCCAGTAATGTTTCACTTATACTCATAAAACTAATGCCGCTTATAAAGGAGGGAGGATGGCCTGACGTGCTGTAACGTTATATGACTTGAACAACCTCTTTATCTTTGGTTTAATTTAAGAAACAATATTCTAAAGTAAAGACAAATATTTACTGCAAACTTCACGTAGACATTGGCGCCTTGGAGGTCGTGGTTCCTGCAAGAGGCGTGTCTAAGCCAGCGTCTAATAAGGGCTGGTTGAAAAAGAGGCATCTATTCCAGCGGTCATTATATGGGTGGGTAATTTTTGTAAAGTCTATACAGGCCTATTGGAAAAATTATCAGAAAAAAATATTCTGAACAACGCCAACACAACATAGATGATTGCCTAATAATGCGTTTAAAGTGCGTGCTGATATGAAAATAAATATCGATCAAGATTACAATTTCAGTGGCTCACGGTTCTAGTAGTAGTAATATTTGGTACGTGAAGTTTCTGGTGTTGATTATGTTGACCACTCGCGTATATCTCAATGTTAATTTGCGGTATTACCGTCACAGTCGCAGTTAATAATTGTTGTCACTTAGTAAAAGTTTTGAATTTGTTTCGTTTAATTTTATTGTCGTATTTACAGTTATTTGACTAAATTTGTATAACATTTTGAAAGAACGCCTAATGATCGAATCTCGAAGCTCTTACACCAATATAAACCGAAAGGCAGAAGATTCCAGGAATGTCTGCTAAGAACCATGGAACAATTTTAAACCTTGTAACCGGAATTTGTCAAGTGTTTAATCAGTGGCTATTTTGTATTTACTCCATATTTGCATATCTGTTCTGGCTTGTAGAGACCTACAGAATGCCACTCAGATTTTCTACCAACAGCAAAATGATATCCGAAGTTATTTCGTAAACTAACAGAGATAGACACATGGGTTTCTCATTCACAAATGCAGAAACTCGACAGTTTCCATTTTACTTCAGAAAATCTTTACATGTGCACCCCTAAGGGCACGCACAAATGTCAAGGCAACACTTCACCTCTTGCAATTTGTCTTGTAGTGTATTTGGTGTGATGGACTCTCAAGGAGCGATTATTTCGCGAAGTAGATCAGTCTCATCTCTCACCTATACTTGGTACACAGTTTGCTTTGTGTGCTCCCAGAAACAGAAATCCGATAGGGATAAAGTCAGGTGACCTAGAAGGCCATCCAAGGGGACCTCCTGTCTAGTCCAGTTTGTGTGTTGCTGTTATAGTCCCTTCCGGAAAGATGAATGGCCCAATCAGGTAATACAAAGTCAGGGCACACCACACGTTCCTCGGGGCTGTGACAGTTTGACAGTTATGTTCTCAAATGACATGTGAATTTTCTGTTGTCCAAATTACACAATTGTGTCCGTCTGCCTTCCCACATAAGTGAAAGGTAGCCTCGTCAGATAAGGTAACTCAGTTGGATTTTGCCTGTGTCCTGCCTGAATTTCAAAAACAACACTTCACGTTCCGCTTCACTGAGACATTTTGGGTCAACTTATTAGTAAAACGCAGCACACACAATCGGAATTCTTGCGCGCGCGCGTAACACCTTATGAAAAACTAGATGAGTTTCGACGTCTGTGACAGAAAACCCCATGTTTCTATCCATGTTAATTGTACGAGATAAAAAATATATTTTTGGTAAAGATACTGTGTACTTCTCACTGTTGTATGATTTATCTTAATTCAGTAGACCTGCGTGATATAAAATTTGTAATCTAATACGAAAAACCGGATCCCTTTCATTATTATTATTTAATATTATTAATACTTCATAAAATGAATAATAATAATAATAATAACAATAATCAGTGCTTGCTACAATTAAAACCCACATACAAACACACTACCTGGGAATCTAGTTACCTAATGTAACAATTCAAACTGGAAGAGTATAAATTTCACTCGCAAACTTATATATAGTAACAGATAAGTGTTTCACAAAAACGTGAGAGAGGAAATATATTCAGTAAATCATGTTAAGCCTATCGACGCCATGGGTGGATTAAGACGTCTCCTGGTGGAAATGAAATGGAAATTTCTCCACATGCTTGTGCAATTCATGTTTCGTGAGCCATGTGTTAGAATTTACACTAGTTTCATGGCCACTCTTGTATACTGACATTATCAGTTGTGTTTTAGCTATGTTACCAAAGAACTGATGGATTGGCTGATGTTCACAAAGTGACTACCTCAAGGCACTGATGACGTAGAACTAAACCCATCTATTCAGCGTTCTTTTACCGCCCACATAATCAGTGGCACACGCACGTGATATTTTTAGTCATATACAGCATTTTTTACGATATTTTGTCTATGCTGTAGACATATTCAAGGTTTCTCCGTTATATTATTTTATAAAATAATCGGTTAACATTAGTGCAGTTAAATTATTAATTCATAACGAATTTGTTGCTATTTCCACCTGTCCTCTTGATTCAGTCTTTGCCCTGTTGTGTTTCCTTCATGTTACTGTAAGTAAAATGTCCACTTGGAAGATAAAGAAGGAGATAGTGGGTCTTAAGGACCTAGATTATGAGGTTGGGAAATTGGCGAAACGGACTCAGGATCATGTCCATTTTCGGGTCTTGAATTGTGATCGATGTTTTTACAATAGATAGTGAGTAATACATGTTAGCTTCTCCCTTTGTCATCTGAGGGAGGGTTTGGTCAGTTGCTCAGTGCGACAGTTAATATGCCTTATTTGCATGAAATGCATAGCGAGATTAAATTATGGTCTGGTTGTGTCTGTCCGTCCGCCTGTCCAGTTGGTTCAACTAGAAAATCACTGAGCGGATTTGGATGGATGAGGTGCTGCCATAGTGGAAATTTTTGTTTAAAATGGTTACCATGGTTAAAGCGTTCTTTGAATATTTACGATGGTTACTATGGTAATCGAGGTTCGTATTGATGTAAGTGCGAATCAGCCAAAATGTATGTGTAAGTTAAAATAGTTTTTGTTGGGACAGATTAGGTTAGGTTAGGTTAGGTTAGGTTAGGTTAGGTTAGGTTAGGTTAGGTTAGGTTAGGTTAGGTTAGGTT